AAAAATTATAAAAACAAAATTATCATTACAATAATACTAATTATCTTTAAATAACCATTAACACGTAGATAAATCATTAATCACATAACGACACATTTAAAAATAGAACGAATGCATATTTTTTGTGATTTTATTTAAATTATCTTTTAAATACATAATTAAATCCTATATGCATGCAACATGTATTTTTTTTTTTTTTCAATTTATTATGACAAAGTAAACATTTACGGACGTAACACAAATATTTAATTCCACGCAAATTCAAGAATTACACAGTAAAAGAAATTTATTTTATTTTTTGATTTATTTTGGAGTAGTTTTCATAAGGCAAAAATCACGTGCTCACAAACGACATCGGAATCAGGATTTGACAGTTCCAATAGGTTTCGTACGATGATTTCGAACTTGGTAGTATGCCCGGATCGGATTTTAGATAACCCCGAGCGTTTCGGTGCCTAAAAGTGAAAGTTGGCTCTTTGAAAGTTTTAAAGTTCTTTAAATTTGGTTTGGAGTAAGTTTTGGTATTATTGAGGCCCAATTGGGATCTCGAGATCAGGAATAGTTCTGTATAGTGATTTAAGGCTTGCACGCAAAATTTGGTTTCATTTCGAGTACTTTAAGTATGTTTGAGACACTTTCGGAGTAAGTTTGAAGAACTTGAAGTTCTTAAATTGATTCAATTTGTTTTGGGGTGTGATTCTTAGTTTTGTTGATGTTTTATGCATTATGAGGGTGGCAGCAAGTCTGTTTTATGATTTCAAACTTTATGTTAGGGCGGGGCCTCGAGGGCCCGAGGTGTTAATCAGACGAGGCTCGGACTAAGTTGGAACTTGGGAGCAACAGCTGAAGCTCCCAACTTCTGGTGCAATCGCACCTGCGCTTGGCCAGCCGCAGGTACGAGCTCTTGGCCGCAGAAGCGGCTTTGGACATTTGGCAAGTGGTCCGCGGAAGCGGAGAAGCCTCTGCAGAAGCGGGACCCCCGTCCATAGAAGCGGGACCCCCGTCCATAGAAGCGGAGCCAACTAGCCTGGGCTAGGACCGCACCTGCGATGACTTTTCCGCAGCTACAACCCTAGATCCGTAGATGCGGGAATAGCTGGAGACAGAACCTCATTTAATACGGGATTTAGACATTTTTGGTTCATTTCTTACACTTCTTGAGGCGATTTTGGAGCTGGTTAGAGAGAGATTTTCACTAGCTAATTGAGTTAAGTAATTTCTACCTAATGTGGGTTAAATACACGGTTCATGGATAGATTTTAACAAGTAAATTAGTGAAAATTATGGGTTTAGATGAAAACCTAGTTTTAGTAAAAATTGAATTTAACCACGAAAATAATTATGAAATTTAGTGAAAATCATATATTTGAGTTCATGAGGTTATGGGTAACAACTTTCTTTGAAAAATTCCGGAATCGGGCACATCGGCCCGGGGGTGAATTTTAGGAATTCTTCAATTGGGGTTGGTTAATCACTTTAATAGTTAGGATATGAATTTTTGAACATGTATTGACAATTTTATATAATATTTGACTAATTTCGAGTCGCTTGGCACCGAATTGAGGGTTTAAAGCACAATTGTATACCGGAAAGTAAGCTTTTAGACGAGGTAAGTCTCTTTTTTAACCTTGTAAGAGAGAATTAACCCATAAGTGAATTGATTTAATATGTACTCCTATTTATAGAAGCTACGTGCGCATGAGGTGATGAGAGTCCGTACGTAGCTACTAATTATGCTTATGTCCGGGAAATTTAAGATCCAAATCATGTGATACTTACGATAGTTGCACCCTACTTGCTAGTTTAAATGCATAGGTCATATCGGATTTGATAAAGGAATTTTAAAAGGTCGAATTTCATTTACTTGAGTTTTGGACGGGTTACTTGACCGTTAATGAGAATTGATGTTTCCTTGAATATTAGCCTCTTAATAATCTTTGAATCGGTTATTTATAAAGTATTTTCTCTTCTTGTGGAGCGGGCCGAACGCCTCGGTAATAGAATGGATGCATCTATGGTTCGTACCATTTGACCCTCGACAGTGCATAATTTAAATATTTGTATGTTGGGTCGAGCCGTACGACCTCGGCATAATTCGTGCGTAATAATTTTTGATGCCCAACTATAATTGATATTGTTTCATTTGCTTGATAGATTAATTTGTTAAATGATGACAATTAACTGGGACTTACTATTAGTGAAAGAATTGTTCATTTATTCTTATTATTGTGTTTCAGTTGTATTTATATAGTCCATGCTTAGTTATAATTCCATTATTTTATTGTTAGCCCATAGTAAGTGTTGGAGTCGACCTCTCGTCACTACTTCTTCAAGGTTAGACTGGATACGTACTGGGTACATGTTGTTTATGTACTCAAGCTACACTTCTGCACTAATCGTGCAGGATATGAGGCAGGTCCATCCTTGATTACTACGAGACTTAGCGGTGAGCTGTCTTCTAAGCTCGTTCTGCAACAGCCAAAGTCTTTCTTTTGCTTTATTTTCTGTCTATTCTCAGACAATAGTATAATATTCTTTTGTATATTCTGCTAGTAACTCATACATTTGTGACACCAGGTCTTGGAGATTTATGCTAGCAGACACTTGTTGGTTTTTGAGTAATTACTTTATCCCATTGCTTTTAAAATTGTTTACTTTCTCATTTTACTACCTTTTTCACTTCTTGAATTCAGAATAATTAACAATTAATTATTTTAAATTTTTAAAAGAAAAGATCACATAGTTAGTTCACTGTTGGCTTACCTTACGGTAACGTTGTGCGCTATCATGACCTTTAGGAAGAATTGGGTTGTGACATATCAGATCAATTTTCAGTTATTATTTTTTTGAACATTAAATACTTGATTTAATGAGGTACACCACTACTTCTTCCCATATAAAAGCTGCACTTAATAAAGGTCTGAATCTTAATTATTCAGATTTCAGACATTAAGTGTGTTTGATCTTAATCATTCAGATCTTAATCATTAAATGTATTTTTTTATTTCACAACCACTTAATGGGTCTGAATAGGTCTGTATGATTAAAATCTATAACAAAGACTTAATTTCATTAAATGCTATTATCGACATTCATTATTAACTGTCGCCACCGCCTATCATTATCAACTACCACCATGCCAGCTACCACCACCACCATATTCAACCACCACCATCACTACTACCACCATCACCACCACCATTTCTCAACCACAACCACACACTTATCCACCTCAACTACCACAACTAGCCACCTCATCACCATCAACAACCAAAGCCGGCACTGCCCGCCGTTATAAATTGCCAGCACCTACCATCATCTTCCTCAATCACAACCACCACTACCACCACTACCATCACCCACCATTATTAACTATCACCACCCACCATCACCATCCTCAACCATAATTGCCACCACCGTCAATCACAACTAGCTACTATCTAGAACCGCCACCATAAACCAAAACCACCACCAATCACCACTTCTAGTCGACATTCACAAGCACCACCATTAGCCATCACCGCCACTAAATATCATTTTTTTATAAAAAAATATATAGTTTACTGATAGAATATTATAGTATTAATTAGTATTTTATTTAAATTTTATGTTTACTAATTTTCAAATAAAGATAAATTTTATACATTCAGATGTTAAAACAAACAGTCTTAATCATTTATTATTCAAAACTTAATACATATCTTAATATTCAATTTTTGTAGATTCAAATGTCTTAATCTTAATACACATCTTGATATTTAGATGTGTATTTAGATTTGGACGTCTTAATCTTAAAAAATAAAAAATAATGCCTAAGTCTTCTTTACCATCAAATTTAACAATAATCAATTCATTGAAAAAATAAAGATAACTTATAATTTTTATATCATTTGTGTCTTCACTTTCTTGTAGTCGATTAGGTGGTAATCTAAAGAATATGTTATTCTTGAAAAAAAATTAGAGAAATAATTCAAGAATATACTGTATTCAATTAGTTATAGAAATAAAGTAAAAGTCACGTTTTAGTTTTTATTAAGAATTAATTTTCTCATATATTTTGTTTTTAAGGACATTTCATTTGATTTCAGGAAAACTAAGCTAGCGTTTGGCTATAGATTCCCCAATTTATTTAAAAAAATCTGATTTGGGTGAAGTTTGATTTGAAGATGAAAATGTATTTGGACATATGTTTTCAAAATATATTTCTCAAATTTATTTTGGAAAAAAATGTATATTATTTTTGCCCAAAACTAGCTATTAAGCTGGTTTTGAAATTTGGGATTTGGCCAAAATATAGGTAAAAGTTATGGCCAAATATGTGTTTCCCAAATAAAATCCAAATTTATTTTGGCAAAATCTATGGCCAAACGGGTCCTCGGTCTATTTTTTTATTTACATTTATTTGGTTTATAAAAGTTTTTCAAATCCAAGATTCCAAGAGAAGACCACCAACAAAGCCAAACACTGGGGGTAGCGACTAGCGCGTGAGATAAGTGCGACTAGCGCGTGAGATAAGTGCGACTGAAAACGCGTCTGTTCCACATAAAGAAAAAGAAAGCTGACCCCCTAACCCCTATTTCCTTCTTTCCTTCACTGGAATTAATTTCGTAATCTGCAGCTATATTTTCTGCATAAAAATAGAAAAGAGAAATTTACTCAAAAACCGGTCTTAAAATTTGACTATCCAAAATTTCTCCAAGAAAAGCACAATCTTTTTGTCCGAGAGCTGCTTCTTTCTCTACTCTTTTTCATAGCCCCAAGTTCTGCTCCTTTCTCACTTCTTCTCTTTGATTTTGGTTTTTATTTACTGCGTATACATAAGACAGGTTGGTTTGTTTTCTTGTTTTTATTGCTTGTTTATGAATCTCAATTTATCTACAATTATATGGGGTTCAAATTTTCTTTATAGCTTCTGCTAAGTGTAACTTGTTCTTGATTTGTTTTAATTGTTGTTTAGATCTATTTGATTTTGCACGATACCAACTTTATGGGAAGGATCAGTGGTTTTGTCTGTTTTCTGGAAGACTCATTTGCATTTTAGACTAGGACTTTTATGCATTTTGTCTTTTTTTTTCATCTTTAAATGGACTGCTCGCCCTGCTTGTAGTGATTGATGCCTTAAGGTACAAGTGTAACTGGGTTCTTTAAAAGTTCTTGTCTTCGAGATTTTTACTGTGATATTGTGTAATTTGTTACTGAACTTGGATAAAGAAGTCCACTTGATTGTGGAACTTGTCTAAGAAATGGTAAATGTGAAAGTACTGGGATTTTTAAGTTTAATTTCCACATTTCTAGTTCCTTACTATTTTTATAGCTCCGTTTGTGATGTGGTAGGCCAATTTACTTGTTATTTGGTTAGTTTTGACTAATGTCCTATCATACGTGGATCTACTGTTGCCCTAAGCAAATGTGACAGGAGGGGCGATGAAGCACCAAATTCACGAGTTTATTGGCACAGGTTGAGGGACTTGTGTTTTAGGTCATAGGTTTGAGCCCGACGCCAAGCGAACTAACTCTGGTATTTAAGTGAAGAAGGGTAGAGGGGCAGGCCCATCATCCCGAGTTTCGAAAGCTGCGGTTGGCCAAAGGGTCAGCTTCAGATGGATTTCTCGGTCATTAAAAAAAATGTATAAAAATATATTTTGTTTTGGTGCGAAGCCTCTAACTTGATGTGTTGCCGGTGACTAATGGAAGAGTATCAAAGTTCTTATGTTATGCACATTTGTTGACTTCTTACTGTTCCTGTGGTTTATGGTGCAAAATGCATTTCAGAACTTACAAATGCAATCCAACATATCTTTGCAGGTACCGTTGCCTATAAAAGGTGGATCAAAAAGTGAATTCTGGCTCTTTCGGTCGAATGAGCATGGAGAAAGCTTCTGCTGACTGTCCGTATCCTGGATGCTTCTTCTGTGTTATGAAGGAAGCAAACCCAAGCAAGCGCCGAGCAAGTATATTGAAGTTCTTTCGAGAACTTCCCTCACAGGATGATGATGGTCAAGTTCTTCCCATTAGTGGCCTATGGAATACAGCCATGGCGCATCCTAATGATCCGGAGTTTATTGAATTGGGGATATTTGAATGCATGTCAGCACTTATTTGGAAGGGTTTAAAGAACCGCCGCTGGCTTTCACATGACCAAAATATATATATACCTTATTATGCGGCACATATAATTGGATCGTACACCATGAATATGGAAGAGTTTGCTGAAAGAGCTGTGCGTGCTGGAGTCATCCCTCCTTTAGTTGAACTTTTGAGAGGTAGGCTAACTTGGGTGGAACAGAGAGTTGCAGTGAGAGCGTTAGGACATTTAGCTACCTATGCCAGCACCTTTCCAACTGTTGCAAGTCACGGTGAGATTCTAGAGCTCTCCATCCAACTCGCGATGAGTTCACTTGAAATTGTTTACTCCCATTTTTACCAGTATGTTGATAGAAGACTTAGTTATCATTGTGACCTTCTTACGCGCGGCATGGGTGGAGTTGAAATGGAGTCCAGAAAAGCAGAAGAATGGGCTAGTCAGCTACAGTGTTGGTCCCTTCAGCTTATTAATTGCTTTGCTTTCAAACCTGAATTTCTTCCTACTATATGCAAGCCGGAATTTCTAGCAAAGCTTCCAGGAATGTGGGGTGGGCTTGTTAATGAAAATTCCCCTGCTGGAATTGGTTTACTGAGGACAATTTGTCATCACAAACTTGGTCGAGGGCCTGTTGCTGCATGTCCTGGTATTATAGAGGCATTGTGCAATATAGCTCGCTCATCAGATGACTGGCAGTATATGGCAATTGACTGTCTTTTGTGGTTGCTCCAGGATCCAAGTACCTGTCATAAGGTAATGATGTGCTTTAAAACTATTCTGCTGAAGCTAAAAGCTGGAATATTTTATTCGGTATTGCCGTATTGATATTAGGTTCAATAGAATCAGGTGGTGGAATAGGGTACTAATGTGGCAGGAATACTTTATTCAGTAGTTTGGTTTTAGGTTCAATTGAATCAGGTGGTGGAACAGGGAAGTTCTATGTTAATTACAATAACAACAACATACCCAGTGTAATCTCACAAGTGGGGTCTGGGGAAGGTACTGTGTATGCAGATCTTAACCCTACTTTGTGAATATAGAGAAGCTGTTTCTGAAGACCCTCGGCTCAAGGAAAATGAAAAAAAGGGGCAGAAATCAACAAGCAGTAACATATCAATAAGATAATAAGCTAACTGAAGAGAAGGAAACAATAGGTAACAATAGAACAAAGAATACGAGAGTATAAGACTAATACTACTACCTGCTGGTACAACATAGAAACACGCTCGACTACCCACTAATCTCCTATCCTAATTTCCGACCTCCACACCCTGCTATCAATGTTCATGTCCTCAGTAAGTTAAAACTCCGTTATATCCTACCGAATCACCTCTCCATAATATTTCTTAGGCCTACCTTACCTCTCTTTGGACCCATTAAGGCCAACCTCTCACACCTCACCGGGGCATCTGCATCCCTCCTTTTCACATGTTCGAACCATCTCAGCTTTGGCGAATGAATTTATTTTCTCTTTTACTTCTTGGAGCTTAACTTTAATCACATAAGTTCATCCATTAAATGTGGAAGTGCTCCATTTCTTCTCCTATGTTGCATGTTTGCCTCCAGAACTTGTTAGTCAAAAATAGGTATACACTTCACTCATTGGGTGCCTCTTTTCTTAGTTCACAATGTAGATGTCTCATCGTAGATGTTTAACTGATCTTTAAAGTCAATTTTGTTCATACAACTCTAATTCAAAGAGGTTGGGTCATTCAGAATGTGCAAGATTTCGTATTTGGGAGCATGTACGTGTAAGTCCATAATTTGTAGAGAGAAGAAGGAAACAAAAGATGAGTGTTATATTTATGGGAATTCTGTGTAAACTTTAAAGTATGCTATTGGTATGGGCATAAGCGATCACCCTCATAAGAAACCTTCTATCTTAAAAGCAATGTTCCGCTGTACTTTTCCAAAAAAGAAAAAATGAAATGCCCACAGAACAGGTTTGGAATACTTTTCTAGTATTCTGCTACTTAGCTTGGGATATTCAGCTCCATTTGATGAAGTCTATGAATACTAGAATAAGTATTCAAAAACCGTCTATTAATACTAGAATAAGTATTGAAGATAAACATGTAACACCTGAAAGGTGTAATATCTAATGAGATGGTATTAGTAAAATTTATAAAGAAATAGAAATGAAGAAAAGAATCAATCAGTAAATAGAAGAGTGCACGTACTTTCAACACCACACTTAAGTTTCACGCTTTACATATACTCTTGAGAATTTCTGCCTTTGAGAACCTGAGTTCTGAAGTGTGATGTATACCCTCTCAATCACATGAACAATTGGAAAGCTTTTTCAACTACCAACCCCCAGTTTCTTCTCCCCAACACCAGCGTGTGCATGTGCTATGGATGACAGTTTATGTTCATGTATTAGAAGGACGGACATAAAGCAAAACTGTCGTGAGAGGACTGTCACGTCCTAAACTATCCCCTAGACGTAACTGGCACCCACCTAACGCCACCTGCCAGGCGACCCCTTTCTCTAACGTTTAACCATTTACACAAACACTGAGAGAAAAAGTGCACGCCTAAAGTATTATTAATAATTAAAGAGGTAACGAGTATCGCTCAACACCTTAGTGAATTGATAGAAAAACCAACAATCCCTCAAATAATAAAACTTTAGCCCAAATCCCACACTAAGACCATGGAGCATCTAACAGAGTAATATGAATTTTATTGACGGATATGCAAACCCCTCCCAAAAAAAGAGATAACTAACACGAACTAAGCAAGTCTGAATGAAAGCCTCCACGAACAATGCAATGGCTCACCTCAGCAATAGGTTCCACTCGAACAACTCGTCAGCCACTAGCTCTATCTCCCGCAACGGTATCTGCATAGAGTTGCAGGTAAAGAGTGAGTTATACGTAAATATAACCCAGATCCTCGACCCGCCACTTTAAATACCTCTGGAACAAGTGTTAGAAAATACAAACACACTGCAACACGAATAATATAGTAAATATGATAATTATACAATAACTCAATCTATGTGTATCAACAGAGTTATTAAGAATTAACCAACAAGGATACCCAGTAAGGACTTATCATAATTGCAGTGAAAGGAATTTACCAACACACCTACGAGTCCACAACGGCACCACAATGCCTCAAATATGTAACAGAGCATACACAATGCTCGGGATGTACAAAGGCATACATAATGCCCCAACATCATGGCGCACAGCCGTATCAAACTCAACATCATGGCGCACAGCCGTATCAAACTCAACATCATGGCGCACAGCCGTATCAAACTCTATCATGGCGCACAGCCGTATCAAACTCAATATCATGGCGCACGGCCGTATCAAACTCAACACCATGGCTCACAACCGAATTAAACTATAAGACTCAACCTCATGGCGCACAGCCGTATCACACTATCAAACAACTTATAAAATAATATTTTTTTTTCATAAAATAATATATTTGCGGCTAGTCTAAGACCACCGACTCTGCCAAGTGCACGCTTGTCCCAACACATGGACCAAGCAGAGAAACACACTTTCAAAACGGATTTTAGAAAAGCAAGTATCAAAGTTTAAAGTCTCACTTACCTCGCTAACGGGAGGTTCCCCAACCTTGCGACGTCTAGAATACCAACCAAACAGTCTCCAATGGCCTTAATCTATCCAAAGTATTGAATAACACGTCCTAATTAGTTTACGCGAATAATTCCCATAATCTTAGAATAAATCAAAAATCAAAGTCTAACCCTCGATTCAATTAATGAAAATCTATGTCAAAAAAAACGACGTAAACCAAGCCGGGGCAGTGACTTCATTATGTCACGGTGACTTTTACCAATTCTTCTCTAACGTGCTCAAATCTAATCATTGCCACATGATTACTCTATAACTAATCATTATCATCATATTCCAATTATTAGGCATTATCTCCAAATTAAAGAGGCAAAAAAATGAATTGTAGCCTACAGGGATTACTTTCCATGTCAGATTATTCATCTTGAAATCCAAACTTTTAGACTAACTCCACTAATTATTTAATCATGGTCAATTCATTATGTCTTTCCCTACCCATTGCTATAACTATTATCTTGATAAAAATAATAACAAATATATACCAATTGAATCACAGTAGTAGGATACGTTCGTATAACGTATGTATACCTGGTTCTTTCTTCTCCCCGAGCAGTGATAGCCGCCTAAGGTCCCTTCTCGATACGCACTTTTCTCCTTTCTTTCTTTATTATTAACTAAGACCACGACATATTAGGTCTTTTCATGTGCCGCCAGAATATATATATATATATATATATAGCTCTAACTTTTTACTATATATTTTATCCCAACTACTTTATTATCCAACCAATAGATGTAATAATAAATTAGGCCTACTAACTATTTAAATTTTTTTTTTAAAACTCTTTGAGTTAATCAGTATATATAAAATTTTCGGTTATTACATTCTCCCCCACTTAAACAAGCGTTCGTCCTCGAACGAGTTAGAAAGTGTACCTGACATCTCAATCAACTGGGGGTACTTTCTTCGAATGTCTGCTTCGGACTCCCACGTTGCTTCCTCTGTTGGATGGTTACGCCATAATACTTTCACTGAAGCAATCTTTTTTGACCTCAATTGCCGCATTTGCCTATCAAGAATAGATATCGGACCTTCTTCATAAGTTAAGTTCTCATCAAGCTCCACATCCTCTGGCTGAATCTTATGACTATTATCACGAACATATCGTCTAAGCATAGACACATGAAATACGGGATGAACCGCAGACAACCTCGGAGGCAAGGCAAGTTTATACGCCACCGACCCGATTCGATCTAAAATCTCATACGGACCAATATACCTCGGACTTAGCTTACCTTTGCGCCCAAATCTCATGACTCCTTTCATAAGGGACACCTTCAAAAAGACTTTTTCTCCTTTCATGAACTCCAAATCACGAACTCTCTTATCTGCGTAGGATTTTTGTCTACTTTGAGCTGTCCGAAGTCGTTCACGTATCAATGCAACTTTCTCTAAAGCTTGTTGAGCCAAATCCGGACCCAATAGCTGTGCTTCACCAGGTTCAAGCCATCCAATTGGTGAACGACATTTACGACCATATAGAGCTTCAAACGACGCCATTTGTATACTCGACTGATAGCTGTTATTATAAGCTAACTCTGGTAACGGCAATTGATCGTCCCAATGACCACCAAAATCAATGGCACAAGCTCTAAGCAGGTCCTCCAAGATCTGAATAACCCGCTTGGATTGTCCGTCCATCTGTGGATGGAAAGCTGTGCTCAACTTAACCTGAGAACCCAAAGACTTTTGAAATGACTTCGAAAATTCAGTAGTAAATTGTGCACCCCGATCCGATATTATGGAAATAGGCACACCATGAAGCCGAACTATCTCACAGAGGTATATATCTGCTAGTTGTTCAGCAGTATGAGTAACTCGAACTGATAAGAAATGTGCGGACTTTGTGAGTCTGTCCACGATCACCCATACTGAATCATGTTTCTTAAAAGTACGTGGCAACCCAACTACAAAATCCATAGTAATCCTTTCCCACTTCCACTCAGGGATAATCAACTACAGCATCACACCTCCTGGTTTTTGGTGCTCATATTTTACCTGCTGACAATTTAAGCAACTAGTTACATGTTTCAGAATAACATACTTCATACCTTTCCACCAGTACAATTCACGCAAGTCTTGATACATTTTAGTAGCACCTGGATGGATGTAACGGGAGCTATGAGCCTCTTCAAGAATCAACTGCTTTACATCACCCACCATGGGGATATGCAATCTACCATGCCGTCGTAACACACCTTTATTATCAATAGCAAATGACTTAACACCACCATTCTGCACTCGATCTCGGAGTCTAACTAG